ATCTACCCCAAACCCTTCTACAGTTTGCACTGCTACCATTCCTCCTTCCCTTGCCCATGACCGACTAGGACATCCTAGCCTTAAAAAATTACGGCGACTTGTCCCTAGTTTGTCTCACTTATCTACCCTAGAGTGTGAAGCCTGTCAGCTTGGCAAACATTCTAGAACATCGTTTCCTAATCGTGTTAATAAAAGAGCTGCTTTCCCTTTTTCCTTAGTTCATACTGATGTTTGGGGACCTTTTCGTTATAATTCAATTCTTGGTTTTAAATATTTTGTTACCTTCACTGATGATTTTTCTCGTTGTACATGGGTCTTTTTAATGCAAAACCGTTCTGAAGTACTTAATGTTCTTCAAAAATTTGTCAATGAGATAAAAAATCAGTTTGGGGTGTCTATTAAAACTTTACGAAGTGATAATGCTGGAGAATACTTTACAACTCCTTTATCTAACTTTCTTGATTCAGCGGGCATCCTCCATGAGTCATCTTGTCCCGACACTCCACAACAAAATGGGGTATCTGAACGTAAAAACCGGCATCTCGTTGAAACAGCCCGCACCATGATTCTCCACTATAAAGTCCCTCCAGAATTCTGGGCAGATGCTATCCTTCATTCCTGTTATTTAATAAATCGTATGCCTTCATCTGTTTTACATGGTAAGATACCTTATAATATTTTATTTCCCGATAAGCCTCTTCATACTCTTCCTTTAAAAAATTTTGGGTGCACCTGTTTTGTCCGGGACACTACCCCAGGGCGTGATAAATTTTCTCCAAAATCCTTAAAATGCATGTTTGTTGGGTACTCTAGGTTGCAAAAGGGTTTCAGATGTTATTCTCCTGATAAGCATCGATTTTATGTATCTTCTGATGTTACTTTCTTTGAATCAACACCTTTCTTTTCGTCTAGTTTACCGACCTCCATCTCTCATTTTCCTGATGTTCTTCCTGTTCCTACTTTTCAAGGAGGGACCGAGGTACATTTACCTCAAGATCCGTCATCACCTAGAAATCCTAGTCCCTCACCTACTGAACCTCCTTTACAAAACAACGGTGTTACCCCCTTTCCTTACACTTATCATCGCCGCTCTCGACCACCCGCGACAGTTCAAATCGATGAAATCCCAACTGAATCATCTCTCGAGCTATCTATGCCCTCGAACCCGGTTCCGGCAACAAGCTCTCCTATTGCAAGTCGTGTAGGTAACAGGTCATCACGAAATCCCTTTCCCATATACAACTTTATTTCATATGATAATCTCTCACCTTCATATAATGCTTTTATCACATGTTTATCTTCTGTTTCTGCCCCTAAATCTGTTAAAGAAGCCCTTTCCCACCCTGGTTGGCGTCAGGCTATGATTGATGAAATGGCTGCTCTTCATTCATCGGGAACTTGGGAGTTAGTTTCATTACCCGAAGGTAAAACAACTGTTGGTTGCCGATGGATCTATACTGTGAAAGTTGGGCCCAATGGACAAGTTGATAGACTTAAAGCTCAACTAGTAGCTAAAGGATATACACAGGTTTTTGGGATTGATTACACTGACACCTTTTCACCAGTAGCTAAAATTGCTTCGGTCAGAATCTTTCTTTCTATGGCTGCCGTTCATCATTGGCCCTTGCATCAGTTAGATATTAAAAATGCCTTTCTGCATGGAGATTTAGAGGAAGAAGTCTACATGGAGCAACCTCCTGGGTTTGTTGCTCAGGGGGAGAGTAACTTGGTTTGTAAGCTCAAACGTTCTCTTTATGGTCTAAAACAATCTCCTCGTGCCTGGTTTGGACGGTTCAGCATAGTAGTGCAAAATTTTGGTTTAAATCGAAGCAAAGTTGACTATTCCGTCTTTTATAGACATCAACATGGTAAGAGCATTTATCTTGTTGTATATGTTGATGATATTGTCATTACAGGAGATGATGTTGAAGGAATACAATTGTTGAAACAACATCTATTCCAACATTTTGAAACAAAAGATCTGGGGAAGTTAAAATACTTTTTGGGAATTGAAGTAGCACAATCCAAGCAAGGAATTTGCATATCACAAAGAAAGTATGCATTGGATATACTAGAAGACACAGGTATGATGAATTGCAAACCTCTTGACACTCCTATGGATCCAAATAGCAAACTCCTACCAGACCAGGGGGAGCTTATCCAAGATCCGGGAAAATATAGACGATTGGTTGGAAGATTACTTTATTTAACTGTAACTCGACCTGATATCTCTTTTGCGGTAAGTGTTGTTAGTCAGTTCTTGGCATCTCCACGTGAAAGTCATTGGGAAGCTGCCATTCGGATTTTACGATATATTAAAAAATCTCCAGGCACTGGTTTGTTATACAAAGACCATGGAAACCTTGAAATTATTGGGTACACAGATGCAGATTGGGCAGGTGCATGGGATAGAAAATCAACATCTGGATATTGTATCTTTCTTGGTGGCAACTTAATCTCTTGGAAAAGTAAAAAGCAAAATGTTGTTGCTCGATCAAGTGCAGAAGCCGAATATCGATCTATGGCCGTTGGAACATGTGAACTTGTGTGGTTGAAAAACCTCCTTACCGAACTGCAGATTTGTACAAAGGAGTCCATGAAGCTCATTTGTGATAACCAAGCAGCTTTGCATATTGCATCAAATCCAGTTTTTCATGAAAGGACGAAACACATTGAAATTGATTGCCATTTTGTTCGAGACAAAGTTACTTCTGGAGATATTACTACATCTTTTATAGGCTCAAATAATCAATTAGCTGATATATTTACTAAAGCTTTAAGAAGTCATAGGATTGAATACATTTGTAACAAGCTTGGTGCATATGATATACATGCTCCAGCTTGAGGGGGAGTGTTGAAACACAAAAGTTGTGTCTGTAGAAATATAGCTGTTGAAGTTGTGTAGGGTTGTGTCTATTAGGATTGTGTCTCTTAGTCTGTATATATATTTATCTATTGTCTCCTCATTGAGACAAGCAAGTAATAAAAACTTCTTCTACATCTTCTTTCTCAACATGTTGAAGGTACGTATGTGTCAAGCGGACATATGCTCTTCACATGCTTGTTAGACACTTGAGAGTTGAGAGTGATCGCCAAGTCGCCAACACACTTTGACAACTATTAATTTTTCTTTCTTTTTGGGGTGCATAATAACCTTTTTTCCGAGGATGCCCGGTTTTCTTTTTAAAGTCTTAGTTGGCCAAAAAAAATAATAAATAAAAATATCTTGAACAAAAAGCATCACTATTGAATCCTTGAAGGTGTCTTAGTTAAATATTTACTTTTGACTTTAATTTAAAAAAAGTAAAAAAAAAAAAAAAAAAAAAAAAAAAAAAAAAAAAAAAAAAAAAAAAACAAAGTGACTGAATGTAGACTAAGCCTCCTAAAAGATTTTAATTTGAACTACAAATTTTGATACACAGTCCAAAATCTAGTTATTAATCCAAAAGGTTTAACTAAAGTTTGAACCATGTTTATATATGCTTTTGATTAAAAAATAATGTTATTAAAGATATTTTTAAAACCTTCAATATCAATTATCAATTATCAATTATACTATATATATATATATATATATATATATATATATATATATATATATATATATATATATATATATATATATATATATAACAATTTTCATTACATTAGAATTAAAATCAAATCAATCAATATAGTATATATAACTGTAAGCTGTTTCAAAAAATTTCTATTTCCTCCCTAATTATACGGAGTCATTGCTTCTAATAAAATACTACAATTAAATAAGTTAACGATGATATCCATGAAATAATGAATGATGAATCTCCCCAACAAGTAATAATCATTAAATCCTGATAATAATGAATGATGAATCTCCCCAACAAGTAATAATCATTAAATCCTGATTTCACGTGATAATCTATGTAATTTTTTTTTTTTTTTAACTTTAAATAGTATTTGCAAATACTATTTGAGTACCTTTTATTATAGTTTGAAAATGAATTAGAATGGTAAGAATGTAAAGAAAATATTAGTGAATTATAAATAGGGAAAATGACACTTTTCCCCCCTGAGTTATATACTTATAGCATTTTTTCTCCCTGAATTATTGAAGTGGCTATTTTCCCCCCTGAAATGTTAAATGGACATATTTACCCTTAAAATAAATATTTCTTTTATTTTTTTTCAACAAATTATGACCATAATTTGGTTCAAACCAAACAAACACTATAGCAACCAAACCGAAATATTCCAATTACAATTTAGAATCGAAATCCGATATTTAGAGTTTATTAAAATCATGAACCGGAACGGACGGTTTATATTCCGAACTGAAAAAATAAAATACATTTATTGTTGAATTTAGACTATTTTAAAATAAAAAATAAAATTTTAAAATAAAGACGCTTCAAAATTGCGAATCGGATCCGGAACCGCGGGTTCACGGTTCAAGATTCAATTTTTTTGATACATAATTTTAATAAATTGACATTTAAATATTGGGTTCTAGATCTGAATCAAAATCGGAAACTATTAATTCGATTGCTTTAGTATCCGGTTCAATTCAAATCGAATCGTGGTCATCCCTACATATACGCAATAATTTGTTGGAGAAGTAAAATAAATAAACTGTTTACTTTAAGGGTATAAATGTCAATTTAATATATCATGGGGAAAAAGCACCACTTTTAGAATAATTGAGGGGACTAATGTGCTTACCTAAATAATTGAGGGGGAAAAAGTGCTATAAGTATATAACTCAGGGGTAAAAAGTGTCATTTTCCCTTATAAATATGTTAATATGACAATGGAGTATGCTTTTCAAAATGAGAATTGTAAGGATAAAAGGCTTGATTTGATAGAACTTATTTTAGAGCTTATAACTTATTCTAATTCTTGAACATCTAATTTTTTTTTAAACATTCTTCTCCTTCCAGTATTTTTTCTAAACATTCTTCTCCTTCTTCTAATGGTGTTCTGTGATGTTCTATTTTTGAACCAAAAAGAATTACATAATGAGCACCTAAAACTCCATCCACTCATTCTGCAAATTTTCCATTCCTATTCTGAGAAAATCTTTTACAAGCTTTGTGCAATTCTGTATCAGTTCAATAAACACAAGATAGGATTACAAATGTCAATAAAGGAGTAATACACCATATTTTACTATCATATATCAGATGTTGTAAACTGGAAGACAGAAATGCTGATGTGTTGAATCAAACATTCGAACACCTTAAGTCCTTGCAGCCTGAAGCATTTCGACAATCAGCATCTTTACATCCCTGCAAAATAGGTGTGGTGCAAACGGATATTAGTCATGGGAGCCAAGCATAGGAGCAAGGCCAACACTTCTCAATGTCTATAACAATGTCCATAAAAATCACCATTTGCAAAGGGATGCGTATTATTTGCGGGAAGTGTAAAAACCAGTGCATGACCATCAGACATGCCGTTTACATTATGCAATAGAAAGATAAAAGAAAGCAAAGCAAATGAGAGGCAACTGGAATGGACATGTCATCTTACTTTCTATCTACTGCTTGTCTAGGAAAAGGAACCCGGAGCTTGAAAGTGCTCCCTTGATACCCAGCCTGAAAATAAATAAATACACACACACACAGAGCTTAAGCATCTATAAACTTCTAATTCTGAGGAAAGAAATATAATAACTGATCCCTACAACTGAACTACGTAAAGTAGGAAAACCAATAGAATCTCAAAGTTCAAAAAGCCCCAAGTTAACAAAGTCAACATAACAGGAACACAACAGATCACCAATGTATATACAGGAAGATGGTAAATCACAACACCTTAACATTAAATCCAAGACTGTCCACATCCAGTATGTAAGCAAACTCCACCTGGGCAACAAAGTAAGTTTTTACTTTAGATGTACAGAACATTTTCATAATATATTCGGTATAACTTTAGAACCAGCTGGGCAGCTGGTACTGTGGGCAGTGTTTCAACTAAAAAGAATACTATCAGATGCGGGCAATACTCAGGGAAAAGAAAAGGATGAAGACACATGCTACATCTGGTCTCATACTATGTGTCAATGTCTCCTTTTCTCTTACAGATGAAAACACAAAAAACAAAATCACATTAAGACTGACTAGCATCTCAATTATTAACCACTATTTGATCCAAGCATCAGAAAGCTGTCACTTCAGAACATATATTTGAGACTTATTAACATTATATGATGCCACTAGAAAGCATTTGCTTTTGTTGTTATGAATATTATCCACGTCTTTACCAGGTAAATTATCTAAGTTCCACAACTACTATTAGACAATTGTAATCATGTACCAAATAGCAAGTTCTATGAGAAGCTAAATACCAAACTTACTGGAACAGATGTTGAGTGCTGCACAATTAGTTTGGTATCTTCTGTGTGGTCTTCATTCATGTGGGACTGACAAATTATGGGAGCGCAATTAGATAGATTGCATTAAATTTAATGTAACACTGATCTACATTATAGAAACAATCATTAAGAGGTAATACCGAGATTGGCTTAGAGAATTGGTATATTGGATCTATTTTTGCAGCTCTGAATTCCTCTTTGCTGAACTCTGAAAGAAAGCAAAGAGAAAGAAATATGCAATAAGATTGGCATGCGTTTACTTCAATTATCTGTTTTCCAGTCTCCATTCTACGTTTTACAAAGGTACAAGTAAATGTATTTCTCTAGTTAGTAAATGCAGATGCACAGAGTAAAGGAGAACACACTCAGTTGAGATTCTACTTAAGTAGATTAAACTTTATTGGTTATTCCTCATCTTCTAGGGTGAAGGGGAAAGCAGGAGTCTGTTCAGCCATTACATAACAAAGATTATGTCATCAAAAAGAGATAAGAAAATAAGAAATGGCAAAGGTAAAGAAAAAGGGGGATAGTAAGTCATAAGAGGGTTATTTAATTAAAAAAAAAAAAAACTACAAACCTCCTGATCCCAATAAAGCCGTTGCAACACCTGATAAATATCGCACAACCTTGGGTTCAATTCTAAGGAACTGGAAATCTCCAAAGTCAACCTTCACAAAAGAAAAACATCAAATGAAACAAGAAGAGATGTTGATTATAAGACCATAATACTATTCACAAGTAAACAATAAAAACTTACCCAAAATGCGTCAGGATGCCTGGCCAAGTATGCAGCACGAACAGCATCTTTATCTGTCTCAGACACCTACATCTTAGAGCATAGCATTATAATATGTGGAACAGGCTAAGGGTCCCATAGAAAGAATGAATAGAAACCTGATAAAAGTGACAACTTACAGGAACAGCATCACCATGCACAATTATGACTAAATCAGTCCTATCCTCAGGATCTTTTGCCACAAGCAATGAGCATTTGGGATTAGCTAAGAGATCCTGAAATAGGATTCAGATTAAAATTCTTTTTTTTTTTTTTAATGAAAATATATTCCAGAAAGGAAATAAAAAGAATTCCAAAAAGACTCCAATATTGGCAACAGCCAGCCAGTCAGCATTAAGTACAAGTAAAGCTATATTTAACACAATCAACACCTATATCATGTAAGCAACTCAAACACTCCAAACAGCGGTAATCTTCAAACATGGCCTATTTGAATATATAAGCCCAGTAAATTTGTAAGGTATGATGACTGTACATTAGCAGAACAAGAATTTTTTTCAGAAACTGTCATCTCGCATTCTTGAAAAGTGAGAACTAAATATTGATTAAATCAAACCTTTGAATGAACTGCCAAGCTGCTGGTTGCTAATATTGGAGATCCGTAGGCATCACATGCAAAATCAACCATGGAACCTGATGGATATCCTTCATGTTTCTGCTAATAATAAACACATTGCAGTGAGTAAATATGTAAGCATAAATGCAGTTGTGAAGAAATGGTGGGAAAAATAAATTATGCATGACTATGGCATTCTTATCAATTTAAGTGCTTAAAGTACTATTTTCAATAGCAGATACGCACTGTGTAGCGGGAAAAGCAATCATACAATTCTGAAAGTTAAATTAGATGTGCAAAGTGATCATTCATATTCTCAAACACTTTTAGCCATACATGAGAGCAGTAGCCACTCCATACATCTCTGACTCTCTTCTATCATCCTTTAGTTCATGTAAACAACACATGCATGATGCAACAAGAGAAAGAATGAGATTTGCCTATTGCATTGCATGGTCTACATATTATATGCATCCCAAGCTTTGTCTGAATTGAGCAAAAACTTGTCTCCCTTCACTAGACATGGTAGAAAATGATCAATAGCTGACCATCACGCAAAACCACAACACTGATAGGGTGTCAAGCTCTGATAACATTTCATTGATTCTATTCATTCAGACAACACGGATAAACCTAAAACCATTATTCTAACTAGACACAGCTTAACCACATATAACACTTCATCATTGATTATTTTTTTTCCCCTGAATTGCATTAATAGGGAATCATACAACTGACTAAATGCATAAGAGTTGCAACAGAAGAGGACGACCTGGGAGAAAGTGGAGAGCACTCCACGCAGACTGTAACCGAGAACAGTCCTAACTTCCTCTATAGGAGGCAGCCTTGCAGCTTTTTCCTGCCATATAAAATCGTAATCAATTCAACAAATCCTAATTAAAATTTTCCCCGGCGTGGCGATGTATATATGAATACACGAAATTCCTGATCAAACTAATCACTAAAAAAATAGCATAGATTAAATCCATACCTGATGAACTTGAATTAACTGGAAAACATTCACCTCATCGCCAGCATCACTCACACTCTAGATTTAAAATTGAAAAACGATATGATTAGTTAATGATTATGAAGCTAATTTTGATTAATAGCGAACATATAATACATAGAGAAACCTGAGTTGGAATATTAGTAGAAGCAGCCATGGTGAGAGGAGGCAGACGAGGAGAGATGAGCGGGACGAAGGGTCTGGGAGGAGGAAGGTAGTTGAGGGCTGCATAATTGTAATTACGGAGATAATTAATGTGATTATTGTGAAATCGTGGAAATGGGTAGAAGCAGCAGCGCAGAGTGGATGGAGCTCTTAGATGAACCTTCATCTTCACGGCGCAGAGAAATAGCAGGACACGTAATCTCACTATCTCAGACCCAACCTTTGAATCTTTATTTACCTGTAGGGGCTTCTATGTCATTTCAGCTGTAGTTTTATCCATTTGCATCATATTTATGCAGAGAAAAATCAATATTTTGGTCCCTCAATTATTTATTAATTGTTAATATAGTCTTTAGTTTTCAATTTCAATCAATTTGATTATAAAATTGTTTAAAATAGTACGGAGTATCAATTAAACTCTTCTAGGAATTAAATTGATGAAATTTTAAAAATGTGAAAATTATCATTTTGGTCTCTAAAAGAATTTAATTGACGAAATTTTAAATAATTTGAAGATTAATTTAGTTAAAATTGAAAACTATAAATTACATTGACAGTTGAAAAATAATTGAGGGACCAAATTAATTATTAACTCTTTAAACAATTTGTTTAAGAATATGATAATTTACTATTTATTCCAATTATAATATCACTTTACAATGAAGAACCAACAATATTTACAACGAAAAGTTTTATAAATTTTATTAGAGTTGGTCTAACATAAATCTTCAAATCGTGCACTTAAACTTTTCTCATAAAGATGATTGATAATTGTGAGAAGTTATAAACTGTTGATAAAAATGAGAATGTGTTTCTCTATGATTTTTAACAAGTTAGGTTAATTAATACAAATGATCTTTAGCCATTAATGTTTAACCTTCAAATAATGTTAGTCTAAGAGGAGTAAGAGTATACTTATCTGTGTAAATTATTTTACAATTTGTAAGGTGTCATATAGGATAGAGGTGTGGGGAAAAGAAAAAAAAACTCGTATCCGCGTAAATTATTTTACAATTTGTAAGGTGTCATATAGGATAGAGGTGTGGGGGAAAAAAAAATGCAAAAACGAAAAGCAAAAAAAAAAAAAAAAAAAAAAAAAAACTTTTTATGGGCATCTACAACGAAAATCCTTTATTTTATTTGTGATAGTGGGTTCAAAAAAAAAAAAAAAAAACTTATATTTACAAGAGTAAAATTTTCCTCTCGCTTCTTTCTTCTACCTAAGCCAAAAAGCGGAAAAAAAAAAAACATTAAAAAAAATGCACTATATGGGTTGCTCTAAGCATTTACAAATACTACATTAACTACACATGTAATGTTCACTGAAGATCTAATATCCTTCGCTAAAGACACCTACCAATGATCACTTGTGTCGTTCAAGAATTTGTGTCTCTTGAGATGTGTCATGCAATTTGTTGAGTGCAATACGAACACATTACCAAAGACACCGTAGAGGAGTTGACACTTATCACTTTTCTTTTTTTTTTTTCTTTTTTTTTTTGGATAAAACAAACTTTTATTAATTCAAATCATAGTAAATAGCATCCGCAATGGAAGGAGGAAGGTAATTCCTCAATTTCGTACGGTCAGCAATGAATACAACTTCTCTATCCGAGTCGTTCTATTCGCAGACCGTTTAGTGAACATAAAGTTAATTTAACGAAAACTATTAGTTAGGACCCTAATATCTTATAATATGAGATCAAAAGAAGAACAACCAGTGGCATTATATTACAACACTACAAGAAAAATGCACATAGACAACACTAGAAAGACAACAGTTTTTAAGAGAAGTGTTGTCTTTTGTATAAAAGACAACAGTTTGGTCCAAAACCGTTGTCTTTGATGCAACACTTTTATCAAAGACAACGGTTTTTACTTAACCGTTGTTATAAGTGTGTTGTCTTTGTGCATTTTATGAAAAGACAACACCACAACGACAACGGTTTTTTAAAACCGTTGTCTATGTGCATTTAAAAAAAAAAAAAAGACAACGGTTTTTTTAACCGTTGTCGTTGGTGTGTTGTCTATAAGCGCACTGGAATACACAACACTAGAAAGACAACGGTTGTTTAAAACCGTTGTCTTTGTGCGCTCTTTTTTTTTTAAAAAAAAGACAATGGTTTTATTTAACCGTTGTCGTTGGTGTGTTGTCTTTAAGCACACTAGAATACACAACACTACAAAGACAACGGTTTTTTAAAACCGTTGTCTTTGCGCATTATTATTTTTTAAAAGACAACGGTTTTATTTAACCGTTGTCATTTATGTGTTGTCTTTAATAGCACTTGAATAAACAATACTACAACGACAATGGTTTAATATAACTGTTGTCGTTGCGCGTTCTTTATTTGTTTAAGACAACGGTTTATTTAACCGTTGTCTTTGGTATGTTGTCTTTAAGCGTATTTGAATAAAAAACCGTTGTCTTTGCGCATCGTTATTTTATAAAAGACAACAGTTGTATAAAATAAAAACAAAGATGTTAACAACCAGAGTCAAACCTATGACCTCAAACATAACAAATAAGGTTTAACCAACTAAGCAACACAAACTCTTATATACTAAAGTGCAACATCTGGTATATAACTGTGTTGCTTCTGTGTTGTCTGTGAAAATCAAGACAACGATTTTATAAAATAAGTTAAAGATGCCCCTAAGAAGAATAGAACCCGAGACTTCTAACATAACAAATTAAGTTAAGCCCACCAAACCACACTAACACTTATGTATTTAAGCACAATATCTAGGATATAACCAGTTTACTTCCGTGTTGTCTCTAAGAACCAAGACAATGATTGTATAGGTTAAGGATGCCACCCGGAAAGATAAAACCTAAGACCTCTAACATAACAAACAAAGCTAAACCCACCAAGCCACACCAACTCTTGTTTAAAAGTGTTCACCTTATCTTTTATCTATAATTTGGACCTTCATTGTTTTTATCTAGAAGATCCAGAACAAAAATAAAAATGTAATTAAATTTTTTTGTCCAAATAGAATGCATAAAAATTTAACAAAGAAAGAATACAATTCAAAAGTTAATTTAATAGTTCTATTTTCGTTCATATTTAAATATAAAATTATTCACCAAAATTTCAATGTCAATTCATTAAAGTTTTATTTTCAATTCATTAAATTACATGGCATAGAACGGCACCGTGCTATGCGGTATGGTGTGGTATGGTGTGGAGGAGTTAATAGCGGTATGATAGGGGCCGAGGTTGGTAATCGACCCTTCCGGCATGAATGGGACACATGGAGAATGGATATGAAAGAGTAGTTAATATCGTACAGTTAGCTATAACTCATTTCTTTTGCCGCGATCTTTGTAATAATTGGACCGCCAGCTGTCTGGGTAATACCCTGGTCTAGTGATCTTTGTATTTGGGCTACAAGAAAAATTGGTGGTGATATTTGTATTTGGATATTTGTAATTGGGCTGTCAGTATGGGCCTATACCTCGGACTTTATACGTACTATTTTGGACCTAGCACCCCGGGTAATAAAGTTACTATTTTTTACTCTCCATTCTGTATCTATATACCCAATACTATTTTGGGTCTAGCGCCCCTGATAATAAAGTTATTATTTTCTTACCCCTGTTCTGTACCTATATACTCGATTTATAGTGCTCCCAATTCTTATAAAATCATGAATTTAGTTATTTAATTTAGAAAAATAATAAGACTTATTATAAGACTAGTTTTTTACGCGCATTGCGCGATTGAGATAATGCCCAATGTTTTTTTTTAAATAAGTACTTTAAAGTATATTAAGGCAAGATTATATTGAAATTGTTCATGCATAGATAATTGAATGTTGAATTTGCGTATTTAAATAGGTAATTCTTCTCCCTAAGTCCCCTACCCCAAGGGCCCCCCACACTCTGACCCGACAGAGCATTGTAGGAAGTTGTAAATCACGGTGACTCAATGGTTCAGCAGACAGGACCAAATGCCGGTGCGAACAAGGAATCTGCCCACTTTGGACATAATTCCCGCACTGCCGCCGCCGAGGTTCAAACCTTGGTCTTTTCTCCCAAATACTGCCCACTAAACCATTGAGCTAAGCCCGTGCGGGTTAAATAAGTAATTCTAAGTTTACAAATGCAAGATAATATAGTCAAGATTGATTATAATTGTCAATAAAATAATTGTATAGTTATGGTTGAAACCAAATACGGGACATAAGGGAGAACAAATAAAAATTAGGGCATAAAATATTAAATATATACTAATATTGTTTGAGGAGATTTCGACATTAGGATTTGTGGTTAAGTTCTATTAAGACTTTAATATTAGAATTAGATTAATGGTGTAATTATAATTCTATATTAGACGTTAATATTAGAATTAGACTAACGGTGAATTAACGGTATTTAACGGAAAAGTTAAATGGATAATCATATAATTAAGGATAAATTAGAAAAATTTTTAAAAAAAATTAAAACCTGAACAATTTGAACCATCATTTGATTTAATAATTTGACAGTCATTTTTTCTACCCAATGTTAATAATTAAATAAATTCGTTGGTCAAATCCGCTAACTGCTGATTGTCAAACAAGAACATTGCAGGGTAGTTCTCACTTCAAATTGTTGTGTGATTTGAATACTCTCTTTGTCACAAAATCTCTCAAGTAGTTAATATGATTGGCTTTATTAATTATATATATATTTTTTTTAATTTTTTCATGGTATTAATAAAATACTTGGTAAATAAATATATAGCATTATTTTGTATTATAACTTTGATATTTAATTAGAAAAATAGTGCACAAAAAAGATAATAGACAATGTAGTGAATATAATCAATTGATGAATTTGAATGTAAAATTTTTTACATTTGAGAAAAATAAAGACAATATAACTAATGAAAATATTTCTCTTAATTAATTTATTGATAATGAATAATTTTTTTTTCACTGAATTAAGACATTGTAAGGATAATGTAGCGAATATAATCAATTAATAAATTTGAATATAAAGAATTTTTATATTGTAGAAAAATAAAGATAATATAACTAATACAATTATTTCTTTTATTTAATTTATTGATAATAAATAATTTTTTTTTTGAATAAAGGCATTGTGGACACATAATTCTAAATTAAAGAAATGCATATCTATAATTTTTTGTTGTAGCTACTAAATTATTATTTATATATAATTTAATAAGAGTAAAATAGAGTACTAATTATGCCAACTTTG